GTATTCATTCCCATTTCCTAAACTGAGCTGAAATGTAAGCAATGCAATACCTTCTCATTTGATCTTGCTTAAATTGTTGGTCTTATTATGGATTAATACTACACAGGGAGAAGGCACAGTGGCGACTTCTGGGTCCTAACACTTAGGAATTCAACTTTTCAGCACGCCCTGGCTTCCTTCGGATGAGAGGTTCCTTCCTTTGAACCCCAGCACCTGCATATTTTCTGCTCAAGCAACAGCTTACCCTCGCATGCCACTGGCACCGCCAACTTCTCAGCCAGCCCCTGCTCCTCTGCCTTACCCGACCTGCAGGGTTTGTTCATTTAAAAGGAAATCGGGGTCGCTGTTCTTGGGAGAGAAACCGCGCTGGGTGTCCCTACAGCTTTCCGCGGATCTCTGCCGCCTCAGTCGAATGCAGAAGAGCACCCCAGGACGAGTATGCCCCTCAGTCAGTTGGCAACCATCTCCATTTCCACCAGAAGCGCACCTGTGTCTCGAAGCTGGCAGCTGAATGTGCAGTCGGTCCTGCACACGAGCCAAACCGAGGCGGCCCGAACCTCCCGCGGCGGCCCCACCCCGCACACCCGGTCTCGGCGGACCCTCCCCGCCCGAGGCTCCCCGACCCCGCGGGGTGAGGCACACGGCGGTGCCCAAGGCCGGGAGCCGCTCCGCAGCCGCGCGCCTCGGGCCCGGGCCCGCCACCCGCCGGCAGTCCCGGGCTGCATTGCAGCAGCTGCCCAGGCGCCCCGCGCCCCGCTCGCTCGCTCGCTCACCGGCGGCAGCCGCGGCCTCGGCCCGGGCGGCGGCGCGCAGCAGCTGGTAGTACAGGTGCATCTCTGCCTCCGAGATGCGCGTCGGCGGCAGGTGCAGCTCCGGCGCGGGGGTGGCCAGCGCCATGCCCGCTGTGGCGGCGGCGGGCTGGAGGCTACTCGTCCATCCGCCGCCTCCTCCGCCGTGGAGCGCGTCGCGGGCGCCCCGGCCCCAGCGCCGCCTCCCCTCCCGCTGCTCCCTCGCCGGGCAGCCCGATCGCGAGCGAGAGAGCCGCCGGCTCGCCCTTGGCGTGCCTCGCCCGCCGCCCGGAGACTGCCCGGCTCCGACGCCGGGGCGCGCAGGCACGGCGCGTCCCGGCAAGGAGAGCGCCCGGGCGGGGCGGGGCGGGGCGGGGCCGCCGCCGGGGCAGCCTCGGCCGCGGGCGAGTCCCCGGCCGGCTGGCCCGGAGCAAGCGCGACGCCGGAGACGCGCGGTTCACGGCCTGCCCGGCCTCCGCGCAGCTCCGCCGGGCTCCAAGGGGGCGGGCGGCAGGTGCCTCGGCACAGCCCAGCGGGAGAGCTGCGTCCGTCCGTCCGTCCGCCCGCCCGTCTCCGCGGCACCCCCTGGCGGCTGCCCGCGGCCGCGGAGACGCAAGCGGGACGCTCCGCGCGGGCCTCGGCGTCACTTCGCACCTGGCCCATTCCGGGGCGCGGGGGACGGAAGGGACGCCCGGGAGCGGCTCGCGCTCCGAGACCAGCGGAGGTCTTCTCCGTGGTCTCGCCGCAGCCGGGAGAGGAACATCCGCAACCCTATCTTGTTTGTTCTGCAGAGCGCAGGAGTATTCTATGTGCAATTCTTTCGTTGTTGGTATTACTGCTGCCACACAACTATCGAGCCTCTTTTCCTGTCGCCAGGAGCTCCGGGCGGCTCACAGGGCCCCTCCTGGCCGGGCAATTCTCGCAATGCGTTGTCCTTTTGCCTGCCGGAAATCTGCAGGCTGACCGGAGGCGCTGGGCACGGAGCCTCCCTCAGCAGCGGCCACGGGGGCCGGAGGGGCCGGACAGCGGGGCTCGGCTGCCGCGTGGGCCGTGAAGCCCAGCGTGTGGCCCCGGCCGGCCCCAGTTCTCAGCCTAACCTGTTTCGCAGGAGAGGATCGAATACGGAGAAGAGCAACTAACCTCGCAGGGTCGCTGTGAGGCAGCGCCGAGGGAAGGGGGAACGTCAGCCGCCAGGCTTCCTTGCCAGAGGAAATAAGATGGGACTTGCGAGGCGACCGGGCACGCGGCTGGGGAAGATTCGAGGCGAAGGCAGACGGTTAAGCTGTCGGGAGGCGGAGGAGGAGGAAAAGGGAGGGCGGCAGGGCAAGAGGAATCTGAGACAAGCAAGCCCTCAGCAGCTTTCAGTGCGTACACTGGAAGGAAACGGGGAAACAGGTCGTGAAGTTCAGCAAAGCAAACCCCCACCTTCTTTCTGCACCCTCGAGGAGGTGTGTCGAGAAGGGAAGGGACCCTTCCCCTTTCTCGCTCTCCAGGTGCGCGCCTGCAGCCCCCAGGCTCTTGCTCCAGTTTTGTGGTGCTCGAAGAAGATCTAATGCTGCACGGAAGCGCACTGTCTGGACGTTGGCTCGGCCTGGGGGCTCCACGTGCCCCGTCTGAAACCTTCAGGGCTCCGTCTGCTCCGAAGACGCCAGGCCTGCCTCTGCGAGTCCCAGGCCAAACACTAGGGGGTGCCCTACATCAGCCTTTCGGGGGAGCAGCGCCACTAAAATTGCTCCAGCCCTGGGGGGGGGGGGGTCCTGTTGTACTCCTGGGCCCAGATAGGCGCCCTCTGGTGGGGATTGCGCCTCTTAAGTTCTGAGGATGCTCTTTCGAACTGGGGGGCTGCAAAGGGAACGGCTGTGCTCCAGCCCCATCCTAATGTCTTGAAGATCAGCCCCCACCTCTGCCTCGCAACTGCCATTTCTGAGCAGGTGCTTCTATGCATCTCACCTGCTTGCTGGGAAACAAGTGCTGGGTGACCGGCGATGCTCACTCTGCTAGCCATTTTGCTGTGTGAGAATTGCTGCTTCCCCCCACCATGTGTGTGTGTGGGGGGGGGAACACTCTGCATTGCAGAGGAACTCACTGACCCCTATGGGGAGAATTCAGCTAAATTCTGGCAGAAAAGGGATGCGTGTGCATCTTTGTGTTATTAAAATGCCTGCACCCCTTTTTCTCAGGAAGAACCAAAAACATTCTAAGTCAGGTTACTGTTTGGCATTTGCTGTTACTATAAGAAGTGGGGCTTGCTGTCTTCCCCCAAGAATCTGCCAGTAAGAACTGGTCGGGCTGCCAGGTTAACAGTGTTGGAATCACCCCCATTTGCATGCCAAGACTCACAATAATCCCGCGATCGTTAATATCCTGAAATCAAATGCCATTGGACTGATCCCCTCTGCGGCCTCTCACCTTCTTCCGACTGTGACCGTCCTCATGACCTGCCCGGCTGCTGGGCCCACGTGGCTCGGAACCTATGAAACACTCTGTGTGTGTTCCAAAAACGTGGAGTTGGGGGTGGGAACCCGGCCCGGTCGCATGCTGTCGTCAGCAGCTGCGGGGGGCCTGGGAGATCTTTCAATAAACTGCTGGGGTTCAAGGCAAAACCCTGACTGTGCCTGGTTTTCTTTGCTGCAGCTGCCATTGAGGCTTTTCCGATACCCCTAAACCTTGGGGACCTCTGTGGGTTTAACCTTTCTTAGCACATTAATTCTTATTAAGAAATATTTTCTTGTCTGATAGTTCAGAGCACATGTATCACAATGTTTCTATCAAATTGTTTGAAACAGACAGAGAAACTGTTTTCAGGAAAGAAGCAACCACCCCAGAACCACAATCCACACTGAACCCAGACTCAGTCCAGGAGCATGGGTTACGTTGCATCAACCCAGGGGTTAGACCCTCAGACTGAACTCATGAGAACAGCTCTGAAAAGACCTTCATTGAACATTTTCCCCAGAGCAGTTTCTTCTCTATTACATTGAATGAGAGTGGACTGAGAAAAGGTGGAGAGAATTTTCAACCAACACACGTGGCCTCTGTGCTGGCAAGGAAGGCAACCGCATGCAGGGGCCTTGTTCGGCTTCCGTTCAAGCAGCCATTGCAGATCAAACATTTGATGTGGGTTGTATAAGTAGGGTCCATGTTTAACATAAGACAGGCAAGCCATTGTCTTCATTCTTCTGGGGGGATGTTCTCCTTTTATTATCTATTTTTTATTTTCCAGCAGGAACGAGGGAACTTTTATTTTCTTAAGAAATCATGCATTTAATGGACTGACAAATCTGAAAGGTGAGGTGCAGGGGATGTCCTTTTGGGTGGTAGCAGGGACAAAAAGTGCTGGCATGTCTGTTTGCTGTTTCTGGTGCTGGCATGTCTGTTTGCATGCAAGGAAAACACTGGGCGGCGGGGGGGAGGGGCAGGATGGTGGCTATGCTATTTCTTCATGCAACCAAAACTGTGGGATTTTGCAAATGAAGGGGCTTAAGTGTAGTGGGGGCTTAAAAGTGCTACACTGGGACCTTGGAGATTAGGGTTTGAGTCCTCACTTGGCCATGTCGGCCAGTCTCTGTCTCTGAGCCTATTCCACAGGGTTGTTAATGTAAGGGAAGCAAATCTTGTGAGCCACCCTGGCTAGAGCAGGAAGGGAAGTATACAAATACAATGTAAGTTGATTGCCATTCTATCAAAATCTTATTTTGTCTGCATCTTCCAAACTACTCCTCAGACAACTGAACCCTTGCCTCTCTCTCCTTCCCTCTCTGCTTTTCAGAATGTCACATTTTCATGCATGTGAGCTGCTCTAAAGGTGACCTCGTGGGATAAAAGTAATATGCCAGGGCTGCAAACAAGAGAGACATCACAAGGGCCTTCTGAACTCTGGAAAGTATCATCCCAAAGCTACTGGCCCAAAAGAGACATGTGTTAGCAGACTTACATGCACTATCTCTTTTCCTAATCCAAGATGGTGTATAAGGAAGCAATTTTTATTTTTACTTTTTGAAGCAAACTTTACTTTTTTTACTTTTTACCTTGAAGCAGTATTTACTAGCCACAGGCAGGTGGATATTCACACGTCTGAATGGTATAAACCAAATAAGCTAGCAACCATAAATGAAGAATCAAAGCTTTTTCCTAGTGCTTTTCCCCTCTGCAACTGTTTCATTCAAAAGTCAAGTCATCCAAAGGCAGGTCACAGATTTCACCAAACTCATAATCAGAACATACCAAAGTTTATTGATTATTTCAAAACAAAAAGTCATTTTTGTTTGTAATGAAAAAAGGGCAAGTCGCATTCATAAAAGATAACATTCACATTCTATTGTCATTATAGAAAGCAACATGAATGTATAAAATTGCAGTTGAAGTGATAAAAATTAAGAATGCAGTCCTGCCGGCTTTTGCAAGAAGCTGAAAAATGCATCTTAAAATCTGTATATAATTTACATTCTCATTTGCTTCCCGACCCCCATATTTACAAAATGTATGTTTAAGCCGTTCCGCCACTTAATTACAAGAGTTTTACAATATTGACACTAGTGTCTTTGGAGCGGCGTGACATGGATGCAAAGCTGAATTTCACTGCCCTTGTTCATTCTAGGTCATAAAATACAATCCTCCAGCCCTGGGGAAAGGAGAAGGGGAACAAAACCGTTATTTGAAAATACCATCTGAAACAAAGAAAACCGTGTACAGTGATTGAGGCCTAAGAGTCTGTATCGACAGTAAATCACATGCTAAATTTACTCCTGGACTGTATCATGTCAGACTGAGCGTCTCCCTTGCCTTGCGGGAAGGAAAAGGGGACACCAAGCACGTCAGCATATATTGGCGGTTTCCAACCCCAAACTCCTGATCCTTGTTTGTTTGTTTTTAATGCATAGTGTGTCCCTTGAGTCCCATGAAAGAAAATTTAAGATTCCCCATTTGCAGTCTGGAAAGATACAGCCCGGTTTTGATCGCCAGCTGCTGCCTGGGAAAGAGACCAGACTGCTTGTTTTTAATGAGATCCCAGGGAAACTAACTTTCCTTCTTGTTAAGTGCAGCTTTGCAAGGATGGCAGCAGCTGACACTGTGGCATGTCCGTGGTTTGCACTGCCATTTTGAGCATGCCTCGGGGAGATGCAAAACGAGTGGACGGTGGCGTGGCCAAGGAAGGAGTGTGGGCCCCCCGCCCCCTTCTGCCATGCCTTTATGAATCGCAAACTGCTATTTCCGTCTCACATGTCTCTGGATTAACTGTTTTCTTCCTCAGGGCTGAGTGGAGGTGAAAGAGAAGTTTGATTCACAGCTGGTTTGTTCTTTACAACATATACTCACAATCTGTTCACAGGTGTGACTCTGGCAAGCTTGCCAAAAAAACAAAAACACATTTCTGGTTCAGTTGCTGTTTGTGCGTGTGTGTGTGTGTGGGGGGGGCAAGACAGCGATCTCCAGTTTTCTCCTGACTCAATTTGAAAATTATCCCCATCTTTAAACAGCAAAACACAAAATTAACATATCTTCAGACTATGTAAATGACTGGGGCAGAAATGCTTTCAAATTGCAATGTTAATCACAAAATTGAGGGTAAGGAAGCCAGAATCCAAGGTTCCAGCCCTCATGCTGGGGGGAAAAATGCATAAATGCTGGCTAAACTGGGGGCTCCAGTGGTGACTTTTTAGGAGCTGTCTGGAAGTTGCAGGGAAAGCACGGCCGGCACTCCCCCTCTGTGGCATCCTTGTTTACATCTGGTGTGTGGAGCTTGATGCAATGTGGCGTCACCGCATCTGGCATTTCCCTGCTCCGTGCAAGCAGCGGCCAAAGAATTGTAGAGGGAAAACAAACGTGATCATGCTGAGCCACATGTTTCTTTTACAAGACACTGCTGGCAAAACGTGGGTCAGTGCCAGGCATTGCTCTCACACACCATCCGGCTTTCAGGGATACACTCCGTAAGCTCTGTGGAACTGGGATACTGGGATACTGATCTCTTGGCCCTTTTCTAGAACATTTGGCTGCATCTCCGGGAGACATGCAAGGGTTGTGATTGGTCCAGCTTAGTCCTTCTCCCTTCTTCCCCAGCTCCAATTTCCATGGGATTTGTGCATAGCCCAGCATGGTGGAATTGCCCGAAGGAAGCCCTTCAATCAAAGCTTCACCTTAATCTCCAATTACTTCTTCCTGGAGCTTTCACCCACCCTCCCCCAGTGACACCGGAGTTGCATGTTCACACATTGGTAGGAAAACCCTGCTGGAGCTTGGCACTATGCCATGTGTCCAACACCTCCCCCACCGCTTCCATCATATATGGTGGCAAATGCCTGCACATGTGTGTGTCCCCACAAGGGACACGCAGCTGAGAACATGCCTTCATTGCACATGCAAAACTTGTTGTCTAGCTGAGTGTATACAAGGTTTTACAGGGATGTATTTGAGATGCCATGTGTGCATCAGCTGTTTAGAAGCACCATACTTGGGAGGAAATACAAACAGGATGGGCATTTTAGGCTCTCCCCCAAGTAAGGCAGGGTCGACATCCCTGCAGGATGGCACTTCCCCTCACCTGCTTACTGCCTAAGAGAAGCCCACGGTTGGGAAATGGAGAAAAGGTTAGTGGGGCCAAAAGCACATGGCTTGTAACCGTCACAGACTAGGCCTTGTAAACAGTGAGGACTTTGGAAGGTGGCAAACTGCATCCAGAGAAGGTGAGCAAGTTAAGACAGGCCTGAGAACATGTTTTAATGATTTTTACTCATCCCAAGAAAGTCATTTAAGCACTAGTAAATGAATTCATGTTTGTTCTGATGGTGTGATTTGAGGTGAGGCGGAAGGTGGGCCACAGAAAAGAACACATTAAAAAAGTGAGAATTTTGTGCATCCTGCAAACTTTTGCGATATATTTTCCACCCATGCTTAACTAAGAAAAGAACATTTCATTACATTACCCACAGTGTTTGTAATGGAAGAGGGTCCCACAGGAAGGGTCTTTCAGTTGCCCTCGCTCCTTAAGCCATCCTGATGGGCTGCATTAGGAATCGATGTAAGAGAAGGTGCACGTTCTTGTTTCATGAACAGGAAAAGATAAACGTCTCTACAGCTACGAAGAATGGTTCAAAATTAGGGCAGAGCCATGGAATGGGAAACGAAAGTTTCAAGTGCTGTTTGTGGAAAGTGGAACAGAAAAGTTGTGCCATTTCTTTGGTTGGAAGCAAACAAACACATCAAGCAAAGAAAGAGATCCATGAAAGAGCAGCAGTTCCTTTCTCATGCAGAGCCATGGCCAGAGAGAGGACACGTCAACCGTTCCAGTTCCAAACTCGCTTGTGGCTTTCACCATAAAAACTGCAGTGGGGGCTTCTCAGAGCGTCCACGAGGATGGAAGAAAAGAAGGCAAGGGTTCCTCACCTTCATGTCGAGGTTTAAAAATGCAAAAGCAAACCCACGTCCTCTTTTTCAAACAGAGAGCATGTGCAGCCGGGCAAAGGAATGAAGAGCTTGCATTCTTCTTGGTGAGGGTACATGGCTTCCAAATACTCATTTTGCCTCGGAGAGCACAGTTTGTCTGACACCCACGTGCTGGGGTTGTAATCGTTGTACCTGAAAGATCCTGAGTTGGCACTGCCCTGCGCAATTCGCCACCGAGTCCGCTGCCTTCAGTGGAGAGGTCCAGTCATTCCTGAGCTGTCTGTAGGACAGCAACACTGGCAACTCCAGAGTGTCGAGCTGCACGAAGGAGGGATGGGGAGGGGGTGGGGAGAGAGAGATTTAGCCACACTGCTGCTGGCAACATCCACACAACTGGGGTGGGGGGAACACCATCCAGAAAGCAAGTCAGAAATCCGTCAGAATTGATTGAGAAGGGGAAGATTTTAGGGAGGGAAAGCAATGCCAAACCATGGTTGCAAAAGAGGTTCACATACTGGACAGGCAGGGCCGAATGCCCGTGCCAGTGTAAGGCAGTGATGGTCTGGGCACAATCCTATGCATGTTTAGACAGAAAGGAAGCAATTCCCAGCTTCTCCCAAGCCAGCATTTCAGCAATTCCAGGAATGCCAAGGGTTGTAGGGTTTTTTCCCATGAAAAGACACATTGGGTCAATTATTCCATAATTGCGGGGGAAAGCCAGAGAATGCGGTGTGGCGATGGTGTGGCAGGGAAGGCAGGGCAGAGTATGGTGGGAGAGGGTGTGGATGGCTGGAATTCCAGACAGGAGCACTGCAGTGGAGCCGTGTGGGCCCCACTTGTGCACTCAACAAACATGCGCCCTCAGCCATGCTCTAGATGCCCCAGCACCATCCTCTCCAGCTGTCCTGCTCCTGGAATTGGCAGGGTGAGCCAAGACACACGAGCTCCCTGAACAGTGCAGGGACTGACTGGAGGAGCGGGGCAGGATGCTCCTTCCCCACAGGGCGAGCTTCCACGCTGAGGTATCACACCACTTTGCACCCCAACAGGAACGGGGGCACAGGACTTCTATCCAGCTTGGGACTTCTTTTATTATTGGCTAGAGAAACAGGGCTTCGCATAGATTTAAATATGTTTTTAATTTAACATAAAAAGAAATAATGTGGGGGGCTGGCCCAGTAGGTCCAGTGTTTCCGATGATCGGTGTTGTTTTTAGTTTTTGTGTGTGTTAGGTTTATTTAGAATAAAACATTCAAAGAAGAAGAAAAAAGGAATGGGGCGCAGGGAGAAGAGCTATGATGGGTCGCCATCTTGAACGAGAACAGCTGCTAAGGACTGACAGGGTGACTGCAAAGAAGGAATGGGCAGGGGTTGACTGTACTTCCGTAGGGACTTGGGTACCCAGAGTGACACTGGAAAACGAGGGTTGTGAGTGGATTGAAGGAGCCATGTGCAGTGCAGTCAGTCATGAAAAACATGAACGAAACCTCAGGAAGTTACGGGGCTTCTAAATGGGGTGGTGTGACTTGGTGTCCTGCAACAGCAGGGGTTGGACTCGATGGCCTTCATGGCCCCTTCCAACTCTTCTATTCTATGATTCTATGAATGATCATACCTGGAATCAGGATTGTTTTAAACATTCTATCAAACTTGGAATTCCTTTTATTATTGCCTAGAGAAATAAGACTATGCATAAATTTAAATATGCTTATGGATTATCATAAAAAGGATGGGGGGGGGCTGACCCAGTAGCTCTGATGTTTTTGATGACTGATGACTTTTTAGTTTCTTTTTGTTAGTTAGTAGAAAAATAACAATAAAATTTAATTAAAAAAGGATTGCTTTAAACAGAAAGAGACCTGGCCATTCGCACATGCAGAGTTCTTAAATGCAAAGGCCTCTTAAGGGACTCCAGAATCAGGAAATGGGGAAATTCGCTAGATGGGGAAACAGAGGTGTCCCACAAACCAGATCGTCCGAGCAAGCTCATGCGTGCAACTGACAACACCATCCTAGCCCGCTTGCCAGGGAGCAAATGCCACTGAACTGAATGGGATGTCTGGTTAGGCAGGCGTGCAATTTTCCTATAACCAGCTGTGAAGCTGGCATGCCATAGCTATCCCAGTCCAGACAAGAAGTGGAAATGTCATGCTTGCTTCACATTCCCCAAATTGTTCCAGTCAATGAAGTCTGATGGCTCCAGTGCTCTTTTCACTTGGACTGTGCGATACAAACTTGCCTTGTACATCTGGCCATTGGAAGAGATGGGAACATAGGCTCCGCAGAGAGATGCAGGTGTCGAACCGCACACATTAAAAAGGTACAGGGGAAAGAGGTGCCAGGCACTTGCTCTTTCTCTTCCCACCCACATTGTGTCATCGGTCAAACCAGTCCCTATAAACCAGGATGGACATATTATGCATGGGAGAGAAGAGCATTCACACCTGCAGGATGATGTTTTCACTGAGAACAACCGGTTTGGCATTCTTTTCACTCAATTACATATGATTAATTAAAACACATTGGGAGTCACACCCGTAGGGAAGGTGTGCATGATATGAAAGGCATGAATCATGTCCAGTGTACATATGGCAGCCACACAAGAATTCCGTATGTTATTGGATCTCAGTAATAATCAAACCACCACAGTTCCAGTTGTGCTCATACTGAGATTCTGCAAGGTTTATGTCATGCAGATGTACAAGCAGCAAAGGGATGCAAATAATCAAATCACTAATCAGAGAGCTTCTGCTATGTGGGAGCATGGAAATAAATAAAGAAATAAATAGGGGAAAGGATAGATTGATAGATAAATGCCTCCCAGGTACAATGCTGGAATGCTTGGAAATAAATAAATGGAAGCGCATTTCTTATTGAAAGGTTCACTTCTTAAGTCATTAAGAAATCAGCACTGTGCGTTCATTGGGCAAAATCCACCAAGAATGTCTCATGGCCCATCAAAACAAGATGGAGGTACTGAAGTGTGTATCCATGATATTTAGAGGACTGTGCCCATTCCAGATTATTTTTCTTTTTCCAAAAATATGTCAGGGCTTGGGAGGATGCACCAAATTTGCCTCTGCAAACATCTGAAAAGGGGACGCAGTTCCAGAAGGGATGTGAAAGGGTCTGCAAAGTGGCTCCATGTCCATTTGCACACTGAGCTGCAACTGCAGGCAGTCCACACACACACCTTGCACACTGGTGGGAAATCTGCATTAATGTGAAAATCCTGGGCCAAGTGCTAGGACTGCCATCTGCTACCAACTCCATGCCGCAGAACCTAATGGAGCAGAGGGTTCACCAAGCAGAGAAGCTGCACAAATTGAACCATGTAATCCAAACTCAGAAACAGCCCTTGAGGGCTCTTTACCTCGAGAGCAGAAGACCATGTGCTACCCTCCAGAAATGTGGGACTATGGGCCCCATCACTCAGTAGCTGGGAGTTCCAGTCCCAAACCAGGCTGCCCATCCCTGCCGAAGAAGTTTTTCAAGACCTAATCACACAAGTGTCCAGCGGAGAATACCTGATCGCAAAAGAATACTGGAGGACGCCGTGTGTGTCAACTGAGGGGCACCCCAAAAACCCAGCATTCTGCTCCGAGAAGGTATTGCCTGAACATGGTGGCCATTCACATCCCTTCATTTGCATAACGAATCCAGATTGCAATGTTTCCAGCAGTATCACTACTATTTGGTGCAAGGGACCCAGTTCTCACGGGCACAAAGAAAAAAGCCACAAGGACCCGCGTGGTGCAGAAAACACAGGGGTGCATGCAGAGCAGAGAAGCAAGCCCAGCTCCCTCGCACCTTCTTTTCCCAGTATCTGCCAGCCTCAGCCGAGATGGCGGCAAAGCTTTTGTCGAAGCTGAAGCTTTGCTGCTCTGGAGCCTGCCGAAGAGGACAGGGAGAAAAGAAGCCCACACACTTCAGGTGCCTGTTCAGGTTCTATTTCTTGAGAATGGGGTACCTGTTACAATACACTAGATTCATCCGAGAACGTTCGTAAAAGGAGAGGTCTGACCAATCGGCTGGATGGCACTGCATCGCCTGCAACCCTACTGCATGCTTTTCTCTGTAAATGGCGAGGCAAAACACAGCACAAAGCGTGTGAACGTGCACGGCACTGCATGGCGAAGGTAACAACCCAACAGAACAGCAGGCAGCAGCTCAAGGGAAGGGAAAAATGCATGGTTAGCAAACAACATCGGACAGACAGGACGATAAAGAAAAGAGCAGCAAATGCGGCAAGCACCTTGCTCTTGTATCACCTTGCTCTTGGTGCTGCCAGGTGGATTGGGTGCTGCTTTTTACACAGACCCACCTACTCCTGGCAAAAAGGGCCCACACGTTTGGCATGCCACACAGCACGCCTGGGCAGGTGGAATCTGCCGCTTGGGGAAGAGGGCAGGGAACTAAGGCTTCGCAGGCCCGGCATGAGGGTCCCTTCCCATCACAGAAGCTGTACACTTGCTGCAAGCGCCCTGGGTTCCTCTCTCTTTAGCAGGGAACCAGGCGTCCGGGGACGGGGTACCCTGGCCAAGTGTGTTGAGGGCAGCAGCCTCTCAGCACCTTCTTCAGAAGGTCGCGGTGCCTGTGACCGTGACCGGCCAGTGCTGCGAAGCTTCTGGATGGGCCAGCCTTGGTAGAAATACCCCACCCTGTCCAGGTCTTTAGACCAGAACAAAACAGAACAGATTATCTTACACATATCTGGTTTTGCTCCTGCCCAGCTCATCCTCTTTCGGTCAGGTTTTGGAGTCCAGGTGCCAGCTGGAGCAAAACGTGCACACAGCTTGGAATAAATGGGAGTGTGGAGAGTGAGGAGGAAAACGTGGTGCCGATCATTTCCTTATGTTTCATGCTTTCGGAAGTTAATTACGGAGAATTTTGTTTCATTTGGGTAGCATTTCCTTGACCTGGGCAGATCAATCCTTTTCAGCTTTGTGGGCAGTGATTTCTCATAAACCCACACTTCAAAGGAACCTTCCTCGAAGTCTGAAAGGCACCCAGTTGGGGGAGCTGGCATGATCTGTCCAAGTTCACTCAGGGAATGTCTGACCTGGGCCTGGTGGTTATTCCAGCAGGTCCGGAGTCCCTGAACATGCGCTGAGTGCAAGGGGCTGGTCATCGCCAGGGCATGCTGCCGGTCTCCCCAGGGCCAGGCCTTGCAGTCCCACGACCTACCTCTTTGGCTCCAGGACTCTCGGAATGGCCCCCGACTACACCATCGGGGCTGAATTTCAATTGCCAAGCAGCACCCATTGGCACGGCTGCGTGGGTCAATTCTCTCCTTAGCAAGGGGTTGCCCAACACCC